CGGACGAGGCCCCAGTGTTCAAAACACGCTATGTGGCCAAGGGATTCACTCAGCAGCAGTACTTTGACTTCTTCAAAACCTTTTCTCCCACATCCAAACCACCCACAGTTCGCACGCTCTTGGATGTAGCCGCACGAGGCGACTTTGAGATCAAATCCATGGACGCCTCTTCAGCATTCCTACAAGGACACCTCAAGGAGACTGTGTTTATGGACCGACCTGAAGGCTTTCCAGGAGAGTTCCCTCCCAACATTGTCTGGAAGCTGAATCGCCCTGTTTACGTCCTCAAACAAGCCCCTCGTGAATGGCACAACAAAGTGAAAGAAGTCCTTCTCTCCTTGGACTTTCACCCATCATCTGCTGACTCGACTCTCTTCATTCGCCGTCACTCTGAGCCATTCGACATCCTTGTCTACGTCGATGACTTCATCCTCGTTGCCAAGGACTTGGCCCAGATGACCTCTGTCCAGGCGGCCCTGAGCAAGGCCCTCCTGATGAAAGACCTCGGTGACCTCAAGCACTACCTGGGGATGGAGATCACTCGTGATCGCCAGGCTCGCACCATTTCACTCTCCCAGGAGTTCTACATCAACAATGTACTCAAGCGCTTTGAGATGGAGTTGTGCCCACCCATGGCCACCCCGCTGCCACTACAGCACCTCCTCACCGCTCCAGCTGTCCCCACACCGGAGGCCTGCACCGAGCCATACCCGGAGCTTGTTGGGTCCCTCATGTACGCCATGATGTGCACTCGGCCTGACCTGGCATACCCTGTCAGTGTCCTCTCTCGCTATGTGGCTCCTGGACGTTTCACTGATCTCCACTGGAGTGCGGCAAAACGGGTGCTGCGCTATCTGAAGGGCACCAAGTCTCATGTACTCACACTTGGTGGCCTTTCTCCTCCTCGACTAGAAGGCTACACTGACTCCTCTTGGGCTGATGACCAGACCAACTGACGCTCCTCCAAGGGCTACTGTTTCACCCTTGGCAGTGGAATTGTTAGCTGGTGCTCCACCAGGTCATCTGCCGTATCCCTCTCCTCCTGTGAGGCCGAGCTTTACGCTGGCACCATGGCGGCTCAGGAGGCCCGTTGGCTCACCTTCCTCCTCCAGGAGCTTGGCTACCCTTAGTCCACCCTCACCCTCTGGTGTGACAACAAGAGTACCATCCACATCTCCCAGGATCATGTGTACCACACTCGAACCAAGCACATCGAACTTCGCCACTTCTTCATTCGTGACCTTGTCCAGCGTGAACAGTTGAACGTGGAGTATGTTGCATCTGACTGCAACTTGGCTGATCTGTTCACCAAGCCCCTTGGGAAGGCTCCTCACCATCGCCTTCTTGGCACCATGGGGCTATGTGCCCCACCTACTCAACCTTGAGTTCGATTGACGTCTATGGGGGGTGTTAGTGTTAGATTGCCTCAGATTGCCTCACTAACAATGTTAGCCCTCAAGGTCAATCTAGATAGACGTCAATCTCACATTGTTAGATTGGGGGGTGTTAGTGTTAGCCCTCAATCTCACATTGTGTACTTGCACTTTTATATCCTAGTGGAGTGTGCACTTTGTGTTTGGTTGGGTGTACACCCACATCCCAACCAAACCCAAATGTGATCTCCAAGCAATCTCCAACCCACCAATTCGAGATTGCCTTAGGATTACCCCCAATCCCCTAGGATTGCCCCCAATTCTCTCGCCACCCTTAACCTTGCCCATTTCCGATGTACTTAAAGAGTCTTGAGCTCATTACTAATGTATGGATTCTAAGCTCAAGTTCTAACAAAAGTTGCATTAAATTAGCAAAACCATTTACTATATCAGAGCCTAGCAACCTACCAGCCAGGCAGGTCGACCGCCAGCACAACATGGTCGACAGCCTGCCAGCGTTGCGTAGAGGAGCCGCGCCAGCGCTGCAGAAAGGCGGCCTGCCAACAGAGTAGGTCGACGGCGTGCCAACGCTGCAGCAAAGCGGCCGTCCAGCGTTGCACCTATAGATGACAGCAGCACACGCTCGCAGGTGCTCGCAAACGATTGGCCAGACATGCACCGTCACGCGTCATGTCGGTTGATGTCTGCGCCTGATGAGCCACTTCGACTTCGGGATACCAGCCCAAAGTCGCCTTTGCCATCGCAGCCTCGACGACGTTCGCGTGGTTCCGCATGACCTCATCGAGCAGGTTACCTGATCACCCGGTGCCCTGGTCGACGACCTCCCTCTTCGACCACTCATCCCGTCGGGGACCGCCCTGGTCGACGGACCCTTCCGTCGACCAACGTGGTCAGCTGCTGCCGTCGAACTTCCACCGTCGGCGACCTCTTCGACAGTCCCGCGCATGTCGACGACCACCCTCGTCGACCACACCGAAGGTAGGTCGACAAACCCCTTCGTCGACCACGCCAGTAGAAATTTGCCGACGGGTTCGTCGACCACGCCAGTAAAAATCTGCCGCCGGCTTCCCGTCGGCGACGGCTTCGCAGCAATCATATGCAGATCGTCGGCCGCACCTCCGGCGCACCCGACCACTACGTCAGCTTCGCCCAAGCGAGGGCGGGGCCAACACTCTATTCCCGTCAACACTCCCCTGCCGCGATCACGCTTGGGCACCTAACCTGCTCGGCAAAACTACACGACGAGAACTCGTCGTCGGCGTGCACCCAACGCACAGCACGCCGTCACCGCACCAGCCATGCAGTAGGGCATGGCACCTACTGCTGCACGTCGTCGTCACCGTTGCTGACGTCAGCCAGACGCACTTGGCCGATTGCGACGGAGCACCGTTTGAAGGTCGGAAAGTGCAACGCCTTCGTCAGGAAGTCGGTCGGCTGCTCGGTGGTCGGGATGTACTTCAGCACGATCTTTTGCGTTTCACCATTTGCTGCAGCCAGGCGTAGCGTCGCTCCATGTGCTTGAGGTTGCTCTTCAGGCGCAAGCCCTCAGCGATAGTGATGGCCGACTGGTTGTCCACCAGAAGGACAGTCGGTGTTCCAACATCGAGCAGCTGGAACTCTGCAAGGAGGACGCGCAGTCGACGAGCCTCCTTGCCTGCTTCCGTGGCCGTGACGTACTCCGACTCGGTCGACAAGAGTATCGCGCACTTGATGCGCTGGCTCGACCAGGAGACAGCAGCCCCTCCGAAGGCGAACACGTAACCGCCCGTGCTCGTCCGGTTCTGCTTGTCGCTAGCCGACCAGCGACTCTGGTCCACCGCCGAACTCCAGGGCGGTGTCACGAGCGTCGGAGAGGTAGGCGATGCAGCGGTCGACCTCGCGCCAATGCTGGTCGCTCCTCACTGTTAGGCGGCTCGCCAGCTTGCTGCACGCGAAGGCGATGTCTGGCGTCGTCGTCGTTGCCGCAAACTGCAGCGAGCCGACCTTCTGCCGGTACTCCTCTTCCTCGCGCTCCTGAGCCTCTTCGTCGTCGAACGTCAGCTCAGCGTAGGCGTCGACAGAGACTTGCGTCTTCGGGACTCGCCCAGTCAGCTCCTCGTCGATGAAACGCCTGCGCAGCTTGTCGACGTACGACTGCTGGTGCGGCTACAGCTTCCTCGCCGGCCTGTCGCGCACGATCTTCAGCGTGAGGTACTTCTCTACCGGGCTGATCTCACGCAGCTCATAGGCGGCCTCCGGCAGCTCCTTCAGCATCGCAAGGCTGCTGCTGGCGGCGAGCAGGTCGTCGACGTAGACGAGCACCCAGCACGTCACTCTGTCGTCGCCGACCTTGAAGTAGAGATCCTCGTCGACCTGGCTGTTCTTCCAGCTAGCGCCGGTCAGCACGTCGTCGAGCGCCTTGTATCACAACAGCGGCGACTGATTCAGCCCGTAAAGGCTCTTCAGCAGCTTGCACACCCGGCCGCTCCCATAGTCGTAGTAGTCCGGCTGGTACATGTACAGCACCCTGTCGAGTTTCCTCGGCAAAACGGGGTTCTTCATGTCGAGCTGCATTAGGTGCAAGTCGAGGACGGCGACGATGCTGAGGAAGATCCTCAGCGTGACGTAGCTCCCAACTGGCGTGTACGTCTCGTCGTAGTTGGCGCCGTACACCTGCGTGAAGCCCTTCATGACCAATCTCGCCTTCTCGCGGACGACCGTTTCGTCTTCAGCATCCACCGGTTCTTCATGATGTTCACACCGCGCGTGCGTTCGACCAGCTCCCACGTGCCATTGCCGATGACGCTGCGGATCTCCTCGTCCATGGCGGCCTTCACTGCCTTGCCTTTCCAGCTCGCCAACGCCTCCTTCACCATCGTCGTCGCGATGTCCCAGCGGTAATCGGGGTCGGCATGCATGTCGGGGTCGAGCTCGGGCAGGTCGACGTCGGCCTCAGCGTCGTCGAGCAGCGTGGTGAAGGGGGCTGACGGCAGACAGGCGTGAAAGCTTAGCCGCTCTTGCGGCTTCCGGCTTCTCGACCGGAACCTCCATCACGTCGCTGTCGGTAGACTCCTCTCCTGCCGATAGCTCCCTTTCGCCGAGCGTCTGCCCCTCGACCTGCTGCTCCCCTCTCGTCGGCCCGCTTGCCGACTTCTCTTTCGTCAACAGCTCCAAGGTCGACTTCCCCGTCAGCTGCTCCCCTGTCGGCGGCACTTCTGCTGCTGCCTCCCTTTCCACCAGCTACCCTGTCTGCTGCTCCCCTGTCATCGACGGCTGCACACCCTCGTCAACGAGTTTGGCGTCACGTCGGCCGCCGGCGATGCCACTGGCCGCGACAAACACCACACTCCTTAGTCACAAACACCACACTCCTTAGTCACAAACACCACACTCCTTAGTCACAAACACCGCACTCCTTAGTCACAAACACCGCACTCCTTAGTCACAAACACCACACTCCTTAGTCACAAACACCACACTCCTTTGTCACAAACACCACACTCCTTTGTCACAAACACCACACTCAATTGTCACAAACACCACACTCCTTAGTCGCGCTTAGTCACTCCTGTTCTCCTCCCCTGCACCTGCCGCCACTGGCATGGGCACGGGCACGGGCAGGTGTTCATGACGGCGGGCAAGGGGTGGGGGGTGCGCACGCTGGAGCGGCTGCCGCGGGGGGCGTTTGTGTTTGAGTACGCGGGCGAGGTGGTCACCAACACGGAGATGGACGAGCGCAACCAGCGGCAGGCCAGGAACCAGCGCGGCACCTTCCCTATCTACCTGGATGCGGACTGGGCGGCGGAGGGGGGGCTGACTGACGATGAGGCCTTGTGCCTGGACGCCACACAGCTCGGCAACGTGGCGCGATTCGTCAACCACAGGTACTTCATGGGGCTGCGCGTCTCCTCCACCATAAATGCTTCGTCAAGTCAGTCATGAGTGAGTTGCTGGCATAACAAGGGTTTGCAGGTGACGTGATGGTGGTGGTAAAGGGTGCATGGCAATGATCATGCACGGGGGTAAGCGATGTTCATGCTGTGGACCATGGAACATGTGAGCATGAGGCTCACGCCATGAACCATGGCAAAGCGGGTCATTGAGCTCTCCAACCCCCCCCACCCCCCCTTTTTTTTTTTTTTTTTTTTTTTTTTTTTTTTTTTATCACAGTTTTTGGCCGTGTGTGTCTACCTCATACTATGCTTCTCTATTCAGTGATCCCGCTTGCCGTTTATTTTGTAACCCACCAACTCTAACATCGTTCTGCAGGTGTGGAGATGCCAACCTTGTGAACGTGCCAGTGGAGATAGAGCACAAGGACCACAACATCTACCATGTGAGTGGGGCCATCAACATCTACCATGTGAGTGGGGCCATCAACATCTACCATGTGAGTGGGGCCATCAACATCTACCATGTGAGTGGGGCCATCAACATCTACCATGTGAGTGGGGCCATCACCATCTGCCATGTGAGTTGGGCCATCAACATCTACCATGTGAGTGGGGCCATCAACATCTACCATGTGAGTGGGGCCATCAACATCTACCATGTGAGTGGGGCCATCAACATCTACCATGTGAGTGGGGCCATCAACATCTACCATGTGAGTGGGGCCATCAACATCTACCATGTGAGTGGGGCCATCAACATCTACCATGTGAGTGGGGCCATCAACATCTACCATGTGAGTGGGGCCATCAACATCTACCATGTGAGTGGGGCGATCAGCATGTGCCTGTCATCAATGCAAGAGCATGTGTCTGTCATCGATGCAAGAGCATGTGAAGGATGTCCGCCTGCCGTGCTCTTCTTGCTAGGTGTGCTTGTGCTGGTGTTTCATTGGGTTGCACCCCTTGCATTGCAGGTGGCGTTTTTCACGCGAAGGGAGGTCGAGCCAATGGAAGAACTAACGTGGGTACGTACGTGATGTGTCACCGAGGTGCTTTTGTTTCGCACAAGCATCAAATTGGCGGGGTAACAGTGTCTTTGGCGAGGCATGAAAGGGAAGCAAGTCACGAAGTTTGTTGTTGAATTTTTGTGTCACGAAGGGAAAAGTTGTGTTATTTCGCAGTGGTTATCAGTGCAACGTAGACAAGCAAGGGTGATGGGTGAGGTTGTTCGTGCACAATGGTACCTGAGCCATGCGCAGAGGCAGTGCCAGTGAAGAACTCTCAACGATGGTGTGAGTATGCGATGGTGTGAGTATGCGATGGTGTGAGTATGTGATGGTGTGAGTATGCGATGGGCCTTCTTAAGGTATTGAAGGCCATATTGAGCAGCTGAACATAAAGCTGAAGGGAGGATATGATGTCTTGGGTCTATACTTTTCATCTTATCTGCACGAGTCTGGAGTAAGTGTGTGTTCGTGTGGCAGCAATGGTGGGCAGGGAGTACGTGTGTGGTTGAACACTGCTGTGCTCAGGTCGAACCTGTTCGACTCGAACTCGAACAGGTTCGTATTTATGGTCCCCATTCACCATAGTCACATGTGTTCGAGTGTTCTTCAGGATAAGCAACCTCAAACAGTTGAACATGTTCGGGTCAAACCATGGAGGTTCGATCCAAACCTTTTTGGCCAAAAAGCAATCCCTGTTCGACTCAACTCGAGCGGTTCAAGTCGAACCGAAGAGGGGTTTGATATTTTGCGCAAGTCTAGTCCAAGGTTGCTGCGTGGCCCCCTCCTCCAAGGTGTATCGCACTCACTTGTTGCTCGTCAGACTGGGCATGGAATTTGAGCCAAACTTGAATTGGTTTGGTTCAATCCCTGTTTCATGTCACGTTTGTCTTTGTGTTCTTGTCACGCTTGTCTTTGTACCGTTCTTTCATTTGTTTTTTTCCCCATGATTTTCTCCTTGGAAAAACGGTTTCCTGGTGTTGTGGCTACGTTCTGAACATACCAGTGACCCACAACACACAGTGACAAATGGAACTAGTAGTTGGTGGTTGAAAGCATACATGCAAGCAGTAGTGAAGAGGGGTGCAAGATGTATGGCATGGAGCAGGAGTTCAACAACCTTTGATGCGGTGCCAAGTGAACACTAACCACACCTGCAAAAACCCAACCCTACCTCCCTTTTCCCTGCCCCTGCAACCCCCCCGCTCCCCCTCCCCCCTACCCCCTCTCACTTCCTCCCTCCCGATCCCCCCTCCCCCTTCCCCCCCTTCCCCCCCCCCCCCCCCTTCTCCCCTCCCTCTCCGTTACCGAAAAAAAAGAAGCAAAAAGAAAGAGCACGATGTTGTTTGATTTGAGAGCATGACTACGGGTCTAAGTTGCGACGTTGATGGTCCATCGGCCGCTTCGAGCGGCCACCTGAGTCGCACGTCCCGGTCGTAACCACTGTTCGTTCGAAGCACGATGCTGCTGAAGCATCCCCGTTAGTTGCGACTGCCAGATAGCAAGTTGGACTCGTGCATGTGGTTGGTATGGCGTTGCATGTGGTTGGTATGGCGTTGCATGTGGTTGGTGTGGCGTTCCATGTGGTTGGTATGGCGTTGCATGTGGTTGGTATGGCGTTGCATGTGGTTGGTATGGCGTTGCATGTGGTTGGTGTGGCGTTGCATGTGGTTGGTATGGCGTTGCATGTGGTTGGTATGGCGTTGCATGTGGTTGGTATGGCGTTGCATGTGGTTGGTGTGGCGTTGCATGTGGTTGGTGTGGCGTTGCATGTGGTTGGTGTGGCGTTGCATGTGGTTGGTGTGGCGTTGCATGTGGTTGGTGTGGCATTGCATGTGGTTGGTGTGGCGTTGCACGTGGTTGGTGTGGCGCTGCATGTGGTTGGTATGGCGTTGCATGTGGTTGGTGTGGCGTTGCATGTGGTTGGTGTGGCGTTGCATGTGGTTGGTATGGCGTTGCATGTGGTTGGTATGGCGTTGCATGTGGTTGGTATGGCGTTGCATGTGGTTGGTATGGCGTTGCATGTGGTTGGTATGGCGTTGCATGTGGTTGGTACGGCGTTGCATGCGGTTGGTATGGCGTTGCATGTGGTTGGTATGGCGTTGCATGTGGTTGGTATGGCGTTGCATGTGGTTGGTATGGCGTTGCATGTGGTTGGTATGGCGTTGCATGTGGTTGGTGTGGCGTTCCATGTGGTTGGTATGGCGTTGCATGTGGTTGGTATGGCGTTGCATGTGGTTGGTATGGCGTTGCATGTGGTTGGTGTGGCGTTCCATGTGGTTGGTATGGCGTTGCATGTGGTTGGTATGGCGTTGCATGTGGTTGGTATGGCGTTGCATGTGGTTGGTGTGGCGTTGCATGTGGTTGGTATGGCGTTGCATGTGGTTGGTATGGCGTTGCATGTGGTTGGTATGGCGTTGCATGTGGTTGGTGTGGCGTTGCATGTGGTTGGTGTGGCGTTGCATGTGGTTGGTGTGGCGTTGCATGTGGTTGGTGTGGCGTTGCATGTGGTTGGTGTGGCGTTGCACGTGGTTGGTGTGGCGTTGCATGTGGTTGGTGTGGCGTTGCATGTGGTTGGTATGGCGTTGCATGTGGTTGGTATGGCGTTGCATGTGGTTGGTATGGCGTTGCATGTGGTTGGTATGGCGTTGCATGTGGTTGGTATGGCGTTGCATGTGGTTGGTATGGCGTTGCATGTGGTTGGTACGGCGTTGCATGTGGTTGGTATGGCGTTGCATGTGGTTGGTATGGCGTTGCATGTGGTTGGTATGGCGTTGCATGTGGTTGGTATGGCGTTGCATGTGGTTGGTGTGGCGTTGCATGTGGTTGGTATGGCGTTGCATGTGGTTGGCATGGCGTTGCATGTGGTTGGTATGGCGTTGCATGTGGTTGGTATGGCGTTGCATGTGGTTGGTGTGGCGTTGCATGTTGTTGGTATGGCGTTGCATGTGGTTGGTATGGCGTTGCATGTGGTTGGTATGGCGTTGCATGTGGTTGGTATGGCATTGCATGTGGTTGGTATGGCGTTGCACGTGGTTGGTATGGTGTTGCATGTGGTTGGTATGGTGTTGCACATGGTTGGTATGGCGTTGCACGTGGTTGGTATGGCGTTGCATGTGGTTGGTATGGCGTTGCATGTGGTTGGTATGGCGTTGCATGTGGTTGGTATGGCGTTGCATGTGGTTGGTGTGGCGTTCCATGTGGTTGGTATGGCGTTGCATGTGGTTGGTATGGCGTTGCATGTGGTTGGTATGGCGTTGCATGTGGTTGGTGTGGCGTTGCATGTGGTTGGTATGGCGTTGCATGTGGTTGGTATGGCGTTGCATGTGGTTGGTGTGGCGTTGCATGTGGTTGGTGTGGCGTTGCATGTGGTTGGTGTGGCGTTGCATGTGGTTGGTGTGGCGTTGCATGTGGTTGGTGTGGCGTTGCATGTGGTTGGTGTGGCATTGCATGTGGTTGATGTGGCGTTGCACGTGGTTGGTGTGGCGCTGCATGTGGTTGGTATGGCGTTGCATGTGGTTGGTGTGGCGTTGCATGTGGTTGGTGTGGCGTTGCATGTGGTTGGTATGGCGTTGCATGTGGTTGGTATGGCGTTGCATGTGGTTGGTATGGCGTTGCATGTGGTTGGTATGGCGTTGCATGTGGTTGGTATGGCGTTGCATGTGGTTGGTACGGCGTTGCATGCGGTTGGTATGGCGTTGCATGTGGTTGGTATGGCGTTGCATGTGGTTGGTATGGCGTTGCATGTGGTTGGTGTGGCGTTCCATGTGGTTGGTATGGCGTTGCATGTGGTTGGTATGGCGTTGCATGTGGTTGGTATGGCGTTGCATGTGGTTGGTGTGGCGTTGCATGTGGTTGGTATGGCGTTGCATGTGGTTGGTATGGCGTTGCATGTGGTTGGTATGGCGTTGCATGTGGTTGGTGTGGCGTTGCATGTGGTTGGTGTGGCGTTGCATGTGGTTGGTGTGGCGTTGCATGTGGTTGGTGTGGCGTTGCATGTGGTTGGTGTGGCGTTGCACGTGGTTGGTGTGGCGTTGCATGTGGTTGGTGTGGCGTTGCATGTGGTTGGTATGGCGTTGCATGTGGTTGGTATGGCGTTGCATGTGGTTGGTATGGCGTTGCATGTGGTTGGTATGGCGTTGCATGTGGTTGGTATGGCGTTGCATGTGGTTGGTATGGCGTTGCATGTGGTTGGTACGGCGTTGCATGTGGTTGGTATGGCGTTGCATGTGGTTGGTATGGCGTTGCATGTGGTTGGTATGGCGTTGCATGTGGTTGGTATGGCGTTGCATGTGGTTGGTGTGGCGTTGCATGTGGTTGGTATGGCGTTGCATGTGGTTGGCATGGCGTTGCATGTGGTTGGTATGGCGTTGCATGTGGTTGGTATGGCGTTGCATGTGGTTGGTATGGCGTTGCATGTGGTTGGTATGGTGTTGCATGTGGTTGGTATGGCGTTGCATGTGGTTGGTATGGCGTTGCATGTGGTTGGTATGGCGTTGCATGTGGTTGGTATGGCGTTGCATGTGGTTGGTGTGGCGTTGCATGTGGTTGGTATGGCGTTGCATGTGGTTGGCATGGCGTTGCATGTGGTTGGTATGGCGTTGCATGTGGTTGGTATGGCGTTGCATGTGGTTGGTGTGGCGTTGCATGTTGTTGGTATGGCGTTGCATGTGGTTGGTATGGCGTTGCATGTGGTTGGTATGGCGTTGCATGTGGTTGGTATGGCATTGCATGTGGTTGGTATGGCGTTGCACGTGGTTGGTATGGTGTTGCATGTGGTTGGTATGGTGTTGCACATGGTTGGTATGGCGTTGCACGTGGTTGGTATGGCGTTGCATGTGGTTGGTATGGCGTTGCATGTGGTTGGTATGGCGTTGCATGTGGTTGGTATGGCGTTGCATGTGGTTGGTATGGCATTGCATGTGGTTGGTATGGCGTTGCATGTGGTTGGTATGGTGTTGCATGTGGTTGGTATGGCGTTACATGTGGTTGGTATGACGTTGCATGTGTTTGGTATGGCACTGCATGTGAACATGTTTGACCATTCAACTTTCTTTTTATTCATTTTCGCTTTGGCTTGAAAATGAACCTTGGTTACTGTTCAAGTTTCTAAAATGACGATGCTTGAAATGGGCACGATGCCATAAGACCCAGTGAACCTGAATTAATCATTCCAGTTCTTATTTCTCATTGACTAATTACCTTGTAGTGTGTACCCTTTTCCTCTCTTGTGAATGCAGGACTATACACTCAATTTCACTGAAGACTCCACGCTTCCCACTTTCAATTGTTTCTGCGGGTCGCCGTTCTGTCGAGACCCAAGAGCATTGAGCAGGCGAGGCATGCGTACAAACCGATGACCATGAGTTGTGCCATAGTAAACCCTATCGTCTTACCGTACCCCCGCAAGGTAAGCGGGGGTCGAGTGGAACTGCAATGTGTTTGAAAAAGAAGATGATCCTAGGATATGATAAGTCAGCTAGAGTAAAAGATAGCGGAAGTCTTTACATGTTGAACTTGATCATAGGGAATGTAAATGACAAGATACTGTCATCCCCCAAATATAAAACCCTAGGGTCCCTTATCACAATTGACAACATTCGTTGGTTACCGGCGTGCTTGAGTGTGGGGCGATTGACGTGTACCACGCCCACTGCACCGTGTCAGACCGCCTCGGAATTCACACATCATGCACACTACGTGAGAGGGGGGCACGAAACCGAGTAAAGGCGACTCTGCCGCTTGACGCATTCATAGTCACGGCAGATTCACGAACGGGTTTCTCGTGGTCCGCCAAGTTCAGCAGCTCTGCACGCTGCTCTATTCTGCTCGGCTGGGTGGAGAAGGATGGGTTCGAGATGCAGAATAAATGCGCATGTGCGTTCGATGCATTAGCTCTCTTAGTGCGTTAGGAGCTCCCTTGGCTTCTCTCTGTCATGGTGACAACATCGGATTCATGGACGTCGCAGACGCGGCGCTCACGTCCCAATCTCGTCCAAGATCCCACTCGTGTTAGGCCGTCGCCGCGGCCTGTGATGCCAACGATCACAGAATCTTCGAGCGACACCTCTGCCAGTGCTTATGTCCCACGTCGCGCGTTTCCCACGGTGCGAATCCCCACCTTTCCACAGTCTAGCCGTCCGCAGGGCAAGAAGAAGAAGAAGGTCAGAGATGCTGCCCCCCCCTCGCCGTGCCACCGTATGACCAAGAAGGCGCAGCACGCCTACACCGTGAGGGAGAAGTTATATTTGTCAAACATATAGTTATATGTTGTAGTTTGGGTAGGCTTTAGTGGGGTACCCACTGTGGGGTACAACCCCTTAGGTTATACTTTTGTACCAAACTCTCGATAGTCCAATCTGATTCCCTTGCCTTAGTCTCGATATGGTATCTAGAGCAGGAGGTCTCTAGGACCTAAGAATAGGGCCCACCCTTACCGTTGTTACCTACTGCCTGCTTGCCTTGCCTGCTGCTCGCGCGCGCCTCGGCTGCTCGCGCGCGCGCGTCGCTTTTTTTTCGCGCGCGCCTAGGCTGCTCGCGCGCGCGTCGCTTTTTCGCGCGCGCCTCGGCTGCTCGCGCCCGCGTCGCCCCCGCATCCCGCGTCGAGCCCGCGCCCGCCGCCGCACGCAGTCCGCCGTCGCGTGCAGCCCGCCGTCGCCCTGCGCGCGCGTCTGTCGCCAGCGCGGCCCGCCGCCGAGCCGCGCGCCGCGTCTGCAGCCCACGCGTCACGACGGCCACCTGAGCGGCCCGCTGCTGCCTACCGCACTGCTTTAGGAGCTCACGTGCGGCCGCTACTGCCTGCTGCCTCCTGCCTGCTGCCTCCTGCCTGCTGCCTACTGCCTCTTGTCCGCTGCCTGCTGCCTACTGCCTTTGCCTGCTGCCATTATGACGACGCCTAACGTTCTCGCGTTCGAGCGTGACGGTCGCCCCATAGAGTTCGCTGTGTGGTTAGACGACCTCCAACTGTTCCTTCTGACCGATGCCAAAGAGGGCGTTTCACTGTTCGATTACGTGTCTGGCACTGCCGTTGCTCCTGCTGCCGATGCTCCTGACCTCGAACGCTCGCAGTGGCAGACTCGCGATGCTGCTGCGCGCCTAGCTATTAGGAACCATCTGCCGATTACTGAGCGCGCGTATTTCAGCCAGCACAAAACTGCTAAGACGCTGTACGACGCTGTAGTTGCGCGCTACTCTTCCCCGGCCACTGCAGCCATAGGTCGGCTCATGCTACCCTACCTGTTCCCCGACCTCTCCTCGTTCACCACTGCTGACGACCTCATTTCCCACCTGCGCGCTACTGACACTCGCTTTCGTGCCGCCCTTTCAGCCAAGTTCTGCGCCGCAAACCCCCCCCCCGATGTACTTCACTCTCTATTTCCTCGTCACCCGCCTCCCTGACACTCTTAGCTCCGTCAGGGACCACTTCCTAGCGCTAGACCCCCCCACTCTCACTGTCGACGACTTCGAGAAGCACCTCCTTGCAGCAGAGAAGAACATCCTCGCTGTAGGTGCTGCTCGTGGCACTCCTCGCTCTCCCCTCTTTGAGGGGTGCTCCCCCTCCCCTCTCACCCCCTCCTACGCCTCCGCAGCTGCTGCTCACGACTACCTTGGTGCTGAGGAGTTCGGGGCTGCTTCCGCTCCTAGTGGGAAGCGTCGCAGCGGCAGGGGCGGCAAGGGTGGCAGGGGAGGTGGGGGTGGCGGTGGAGGTGGCGGTGGAGGTGGCGGCGGGGGAGGTGGAGGTGGTGGAGGAGGTCGTGGGGGTGGAGGTGGTGGAGGTGGTGGTGGGGGCAGCGGAGGCACTGGGAGCGGTGGAGGTGGCAGCAGCGGCGGTGGGGGAGGAGGGAGCGGTGGTGGCAGTGGTGGTCAGGGCCAGCAGCAGTCGCAGCAGCAGCAGCAGCGTCAGCGCCAGACCCCCACTTCCCAGCAGCTTCTTGACTGGTATGCCGGGCGTGGGGCTTCTGGGGGTCCTGGTCGCTGCCCCTATATCATTCGCACAGAGGTCCCCGCACTGGTCGCCAGTGCACAGGGTTTCACACTGAGCAGCGCTGCTTCGCTCGGCTTAGCGACGCCTGGCGCGCCAAGTTTCCTGATGCTACTGAGTTCCCCAACTGGGCAGACCTGCTTAGGCGTGATGTACCTATCTTTGATCTTGACTATGAGGCTATTCTTGCTGCCATGTATGCATTGACTGTTAGTGCTGAGGGTGACTGCTACTTGTGTGTGCCGCCTGACCCAGGTATAGCCCCAGGTATAGCGCCTGTGGCACTAGGTGCTTGTGAGTCTGCCCCCCCTGGTACTGCGTCCGCACAGGCCTTGCACACCTTCACACTTGACTCTGGTGCTTCCCGCTGTTTCTTTCGCGACAGCACCACAGTCACTCCCCTCCCTGCACCTGTTCCTGTCTCACTGGCTGACCCCTCTGGGGGCCCAGTGCTTGCACGGTCTTCCACTGTGCTTCCGTGTCCGGCGGTCCCGTCTGGTGAGCTGTCTGGTCTCCACCTCCCCTCGTTCTCTACGAACTTGGTGAGCAACGCCGTCCTTCAGGATCACTGGGTTGACACCTTTACTCCTGGAGGACAGCGTGTGGCGATCTGCACGTGCTCCAGGACCGGCCGTCACCTGGCCACGTTCACACGTGCGCCTGGGTCTAGTCTGTACACCCTCACCACTGCGTCACGCTACACCCCTTTGTTCCCCCCAGCTGTACGCGTCTGCTCAGGTAGCTACCCAGTGTGAGTGTCGCCGCCTGTCGCACGACACTCTCCTGTGGCACCACCGCCTTGGTCACCCCTCCCTGCCTCGCCTTCGTAGCATGCACTCTCGCTACCTGGTCTCTGGCCTTCCCAGGTCTCTGCCTGCCCTCCCTCCCTCGCCTGCGCCGCCCTGCATTCCTTGCGTCGAGGGGCGGCAGCGCGCCGCTCCTCACTCCTCCTCGTTTCCTCCCACAGAGGCTTCCCTGCAGACTCTCCAAATGGACGTGTGGGGCCCAGCCCGCGTCCGTGGACAGGGCCACGAGCGGTACTTCCTGCTGGTCGTCGACGACTACACGCGTTACACCACGGTCTTCCCCTTGCGCAGCAACGGGGAGGTCCCTGATGTTTTGATCCCCTGGATCCGCGCTGTCCGTCTCCAGCTCCGCGAGCGGTTCCAGTCGGACTTTCCTGTCCTGCGTCTGCACTCTGACAGAGGTGGTGAGTTCTCCTCAGACCTCTTGGCAGCCTTCTGTGCGGAGCACGGCATCCGCCAGACGTTCACGCTTCCGGCCTCTCCGCAGCAGAATGGGGTTGCTGAGCGCCGCATTGGCTTAGTCATGGAGGTCGCTCGTACCTCCATGATCCATGCGGCTGCCCCCCATTTTCTGTGGCCGTTTGCGGTCCGGTACGCCGCGCATCAGCTCAACCTCTGGCCCCGTGTCTCCTTGCCGGAGACCTCGCCCACACTGCTGTGGACGGGGAAGGTTGGCGATGCGTCGCGTTTCCGGATCTGGGGTGCTCGTGCCTTTGTCCGCGATACCACCGCGGACAAGCTCTCCGCTCGCGCCATTCCCTGCGTCTTCCTTGGCTTTGTCCCTGACGCGCCTGGCTAGCAGTTTTACGGCCTCGCGCCGTGTCTTTCCGTCTCAGGACGTCACCTTTGACGAGTCCGTCCCCTTTTACCGTCTCTTTCCCTACCGCACTGCCCCTCGCCCCCCCCCGCCGCTCTTTCTCGCCCCAGGTCCTCCCCAGGTAGACCCCCTCCCCGCGCCAGGTCCTGCTCCTTCAGGTGTTTCTCAGGTAGACCCTCCCGTGCCTGCGCCTGTTGAGGTCACTGGTGACTCAGGTCCTGCTGGGGGTGGTGCTGTCTTTGGGGGTGCTGGGCCTGGGGGTGCGGAGCTTGGGGGTACGGAGCTTGGGGGTGCTGAGCCTGGGGGTGCGGAGCCTACGCGTGAGGACCTAGGAGGTGCTGAGCCGGGGTGCGGAGTCTGGGGGCGCTGAGCCTGAGCGTGAGGAGACTGGAGGTCCTGAGCCTGGGGGTGCTGTGTCTGGAGGTGCTGAGCCTGAGCGTGAGGAGCCTGGGGGTACTGAG